TTGATTTTCTTTTGAACAACCTATCAAGGAGGTTACGTATAGCGCCATCTGCCCGCGAATAGCTCAAGCGAAGTTGATTCTTACTGTTATTTTCTTTCCATTCACTTTTATATTTTTATGCTTTATAGTTTTTATATTCTCATACTTAAATTCATGTGTTGCATGATAATATTCATTATTATCATTATTATTATTTATTTCAATAAGTAGCATATATATTATCACTTTATGACTACTTTTTCACCCCAAAATGCTGAAATCACCAAATGTTCAAATATTACTTTCAATTTGTATAACTTATATTCTTTAAAATAATAACACTTCGACAATAATATTTTATCTTCGACAATATCTTTCAAGTTGTGTATCTTAGAATAGTAACATTTTGTCAATGAGATTTCATCTTCAACAATAAAGTACATTTTGTTTTGATTTGATTGCAATAATTGATAGTTGCGTACACCGCCATCTGCCCGCGAATATATCAAGAAATATCAATTAGGTTATGAAAAGCGCCATCTGCCCGCGAATAGATCAAGCAATAATGCCGATAATTCTGTCAATACAGATCCCGATCTTGACAGTTACACACAAACATGCATACAAACAATCATAAATACATACATACATACATACATACAGGTGGAGCTAACATGAAGCGTGTAATAAAAATGAAGAAATTTTAATTCGAAACAAAGTTTACACAAGTCTCAGAAAGATGAAGTGGTGCGTATCATCTTCTCATTCACTAGAAAGTGAATGAGAAGATGATACGCAGATGATAAAATCCACTTGAAATTCAATCTATCCTCTTGAATAATATAACATAACTTTTTGTGATCGTTCAATTTTTCTGTAAATGCACAAGTACTGTAGGAAAATCCATGAAGTTCTGACACGATTATATTCCACTGAAACCACATGCCAACATGCCACTGAGACCAATTGTCAGTGCCCCAAGGTCGCCGACCTACCGCCTGGCGAAGCGTCTGGCCTCGCTCGTCCAGCCTCATGTGGTTAAGACAAACACCTACGTCAAAGATTCAACAGCCTTCGTTGGTGAACTCCACTCTAGAGGCGACATATATTCTGGCCACCAACGATGATATGTCCTTGTTTACAAATACCCCACTAGAAGACTGTCTGAGGGGGCTAGCCTACTTGTTTCCAAATGATATAGTCGGACTCTTCAGAGCATGTCTCACGGGAAGTTCCTTTCAATGGAGGGGAAACTGCAATTTGATGCCGTGGCGATGGAAAGTCCACTCAGCACAGCGATAGCTGATCACTCCACGGCAATAACAACTTCAGCAGCTGGTAACATGAAAGAAACGTAGAACGTTTCTCTTTTCCTAGACCCGCTCTGCCGCTTTTCCGCTCAACACCCCAGCACAAGTTTACCATGGAGACTGACCAGATGTGGTGCTAGACTAACCTACTAATAAACCACCATCCTTATCAAAAGAGAGGAGATATCTTGACTCTAACTGAACGGGCTCGAATGTGTACCAAGGCATCAAGAGGAATAATAGGAACATCTTCAAATGACCTTGAAAGGTACAGTGTACCCAAGATCAACAAGGCCATAAAACTGAAGAGTTCCACTGTTCAAAACGGGAAAGAGGTTCAGGTGCTTGGCTGTGCGTATCTTCCTTATATCCCTAGGGCAAGAATGGAGAACTCTTGATGAAACACAACACCCACGAATAAGTTACAACAAAGCTGCAGGTCGATTGAAAACAGAAGAGACCCACTACCAGCAGCAGGAGTATATTACATACCGTGCACTTGGAGAAAGGTGTACATCGGAACCACCAAAAGATCAATTGGAACTAAGCTGAAGGAGCATGGAAGAAACTGCAGAACAGACCAACCAGGCAAGTCAGCTGTGGCGGAACACACACTCAATGAAGGAAACCACACGATTCTCTTTGGAAATACGAAACTCATTCCTCCCGAGCGTAGATATCATAGCCGACTGGCGCGGGAGGTAATGAAGATCTACAAACCAAAGCTGGAAAGCCACGAACTGAGACGATTTGACAAACCATAACATCGAAGTTAGGTCTTTCATGTCAAACAAGGTCGAATGTGTTAGTCGATTGCGTTGTTCCAAGGGTGAGTGATATGTGTGAGAAGGTCGCCTCTAATCTTTGCGGCAAACATACCGATGATCGATTAGATGTTGAAGCATTCGAAATATTTTCAAATGATATGAATTAACAGCTTTTTTCTTGATTTTTGACGTAACTGAATATCAATGCAACTGGTATATAGTTGGTTGAGAGATTTATCTTGCCCTTTTCGAGTGAAGCTCAAAATTGAGCAGTCTTCCAACAAGAAGAAAAATATCTTTTGGCAAAACAAAGTAAAGAAGCCTGGTGCAAGTTTCTTGACACCATGAATCTGTACATTTCGGGCGTCAGTTTAGTTTTCATCTCATACTCTCTGCAGTTACTGAGCGAAGTTTCATTTTAACTTGTTACAGAATGATTATAAATTTTATCAACAATAAAACGGTCTATACGAATAAACCATATTTGTCTTCGTTTATAACTTTTTGGATCATATAACACTGCTTTCAACAAAGTGTTTTGTTCACTATATCCATACAACACTCTCATGATGGCCTTTTCTGACGTAGAGATGTTGGTCTTTCACAAAATGGTATCCTACAATATTTTAAAACCATTATCATTTCAATGAATCTCTTCACAGAAACATTAAAATCACACATTTGAATGTTATTCAGTATCCGATAACTCAAAACCAAGTATAACAATCGTCAGTAAATCACCAAAAATAAATAATATAATCGATTCTTGTGCAACTAATTCTGACTCACAGAAACTTGAAGATAGAGAAACTTCTGACTTAATTGAATTTGTACACAGTATCATAGGTGATTTTAGTCCATACAAATATCAACACGTGGCCTTTTGGTCCAGAAGAAGTGTTTTTCACCAACACCAGAACTGTAATTCTTCTCGACGCGCGTTTTACCAACCCAGTTGGCATCTTCAGGAGATTGAAAAAACCTGTTTTCTTCATCTCCTCCTCGATCCACCAACTTGGTTGGTGAAACCAACTTTTGATTGTTAGGAGAAGTACTTGTTTTGGCCTCATTCTAAGTCGGAGGTTTTAATTTTTCCTCATACTCGACAAGATGAAGTCGTCTTCCACATTCTATTTTCATCTCTACATTTTCTATGACTAGTGTGTCTCTCCACCTCACACTGTGATCCCCAGTATTGAAGGATAATGATACTCAAGAGGTCCAGTTAAGAAAATATGATGTGTTCACACTCACCTATTGAATACTGAGTTTCCCGAGGGATTATCTTGCGTGAATTTATCAGCTAACGTATGGAGACTAACAGGACTAATCTCATTGACAGAGTAGTAGGTGCTGAAGTTGTATTCTACCGCCCACTCTGCGTTCTTGTTGTCGTTTGCATTGGCAGTAGAGAGGTCAAGGTAATACTGGGTGTAGTCGTAAACCTGTAACAATTCAGAACAATACATTAAAATACAATATAAATTTACTCACAAGGATATAAATCATAATGAAATGATGAGCATATTTCACAAATGTTTTTTATGATCAGATCAGAATCCACTGATTGAAGACACAGCCTTAAGGTATTAGGGAAGTTTGTTAAAAATTTTCACCCCATTATGCATTAGAGAAACTATTGTCAGAAGCATTTTTGTGCCAAACTGTTTACGGCGGAGCTACCTTCGTTATTACCACCTTTGAAAGTAGATTTCCATCTTCAAGATTACTTCTCAATGTATTAGTTATCATACATTAAAGTTTGTTGCCTGACACCGGTAGCGTAACAAAATTTGTATATGAAAGCGACTTGTCGTTAGCATAATCCACCTGCATTGTTATTCAGAGGCGTAATGATCAACTCCGCCGCCGTCCCTGATTTCAGAGCAAATCACAGACACACCCTCTTCAAATTCTTCTGATCTCGAGAGGGCTCCGGAATTTTTCAGCAAACGACGCTTCGCGGCACCTTTTGTGTCAATCGAACCCTACTTGTTATTCATTGTTTTTGTTCGCCTGCCTTTGCTGTAGATTTTCTAATTATCGCCATGTCTCAAAAAGGGAATAGTATTTCCCTAAAGACAATTTAATTCTTCTTGGTTTTGATGCCTGGTAGGATATTTTTTTTTTATTTTCCTTGTTTTGCCTTCGTCGTTAGGGATGATATATCCCGCGCTGGATGAGATTTACCGCTAAACTCTCATAGGGGTAGACTTGTTGCTGTTTTGTGGAAAATCTTCCTTCATCAACACTGCCAAACTATGAGAAATGATTTTTTCCTGTGACTATCAAAAAAACATTAATTATGTGACCAGTTCCTGTTGGGTAATTAGCCAGAATGACTCATAACTCACACCTTTGAACCAATCACAGTTGATTAGATTCATAAATCACTACCGTGGGTCCAATCTCAGATGACCAAATTCATAATTTTACAATTGTGTTGTGTGCATTTTTTCATTCGCAAAATTAGCCTTGAGAATTCACCAACTACATTCACCTTTTCAAAATTGCTAGAAATCAAGCGTCAAAAGCTGAGACCTCATAGATTATTGGCTCGCAAAAGTTTTGGGGTGAAAGCTGGTTAACAAAAAACACATTTTTCAATGAATCCCCATTCGGTAAATCCTTCACAACTGAATCTAATTTCAAAATATTTCTGTTAGTCATAGAAAAATTGTGGTATTCTACTCGCGAACAATGGTCATTACTCGTTCGTATGATTCATAAACTGCATTTCTTTATGTGAAAGCTATCTTCCGTTTTATTTGCCGAGGTCTTGGTTCCAATGTAGACCAACCCGCAGCTTCGAGGGATCCGGATGTTGCTTGAAGTTCTGTGGAATCCATAGCTGACTTCAGACTTTGTCTGGTAGTTTTTGTTGGCCTAAATATTGGTTTCACGTCGTGTTTCTCTAAGATCATTCCAATCCTGTCTGTAACATTTTCCTCAGGAAAACTCTCAAGGTTCACAAATAAATTGTGAACGTTTTCAATTACTGTTCTGTGTCTGGGGGTTAGAGTTTTTTCCACCAACTTCAGGTTCACCAATTTATGAGCTGGCCAAATTCTTGACAACCCTACTGCAGACATTCATAGAATAAACAGAATAATCCATTGAGAACTCATGACACTTTATCGAAGAGAGTGGAGATATGAAATTAGATTCTGAAGTGGACTTCGACGTGCTCTCCTTGTACACGATAGTTTCGATCAACGACACGATACGGCTAATTATTCCAAGTAGAAACAACACAGCTCATTGTTTATCATCAACTCTTTTCCAGTGGAATGGTATTTTTACGAACAAAAGGATAGTACCGCGATGGGCAGTCCATTAAGTCCGTCGAATGCAAACTTCTTCGTGAAAAATTTTGAACAAAGGGAGCAAGTGACCGTGAAACCATATTGTTGGCTGCTTCATATTGATGACATATTCATAAACTCTCTCCACCCAAAAATTCAATCCACGATGGAACGAGAAATGATCTAGCCTGCTTGGAAGTTCTTGTGACCAAACGTGAAAATGGTACATTGGGCTACAGAGTATACAGGAAATCAACACTTTCATACATGTACCTCTACAAAAATTTGAACCACCAACAAACAGGAAAGAGAAGTTATTGAAACGTTGGTTGTAGAGTCTACAATATTGATCATGGATTAAGTTTTGATACGTAAACTTTTTTCTATATTTCTCGACATTTTTTTTTTGAATTATCAACGTTTCATCATACTGTTGATATGAAATATTCAGATTTGAATACATATTAATGATCAACATTATTGTATTTTGAAATACTCACCACTCCAGTATCCTTGTCAAATTTATAGAGTCTTAGTCCAGGATTATTTGGTCCTTCGTTGGTTCTTCTGGGGGTAACGGAAGGTGCTATCATCGCCCAAGAAACTGGCCGACCTGCAACAAATAACAAATGTCATTGGAAAACTTCAAAAACATATTTGAATTATTGACAAATAACAAATTTCTTTCATCATATCATTTGTGGGATATCCCACCACCGCTTTTTCAGTTGATACTAACCTTCAAAGGGAAGCTGTTGAAATTTCATGATAATCTACTGATAAGTTTGTGGATTATTGGGCTAAGAGTGACACTACTTTTATTATTCTCAGAACAATAGATCAAAAACAGTTTCGTGTTTCAATTTTACACTGCTTTTCGATGGGAAAAATGCCGTTCAAAAAAAACAATGGCTTGGAAAGTGTTATAAGGACTCCGCTGCATTAGAAACAGAAATTAAACTTCAGTTTCCTGTGGTCATAGAAACACCGATGATGCTGAACGCAGTGGATGTTCAAATGAGGCAGTATACACCACAAAATCGTTTTGAAAAGTGAAGTTGCGTGAGTTAGCTGACATTGAGAAGATACCAAAAGAACGTGTTGGCGTAGTGTCAATTTGCTGAGCTGAGCTAAGCACTCTGTATCCAGGGGTGAATAATCATCTGAAAACTGTCGTGAAAACTTTCCGTAGATCAACGGAGAAGAGTGTAACATTGTTACCTTTGTCGTTAGCCGCAGCTGTGTCCAGCAATTTCATAGACCAAATGTATTACCACCAGGCCGTCGGTGTCCAGGAAAGTTTCGAAACTGAAAGCCCAGAACGGTCGACATAAATTCCCGTCGTAAAAGAAAATTAAGTGGGCTGTTCTGTTTCTCAATCGGATTTTCAAAGTGAACGATCGCTTTATATCCAAGGAAACGAGAAAAAAATATAATTTTTGTTACTGTTCAACGAAATGTTCGAGCCCACATCCGGCGTAATCTCTTTAACAAATCTTGGAAAATCTTTCAGCCATAAGTTTATGTCCTTCATTCACAAAAGTTTCAAGAAGAAACTTTCAAGCAAGAATGAAACGTTGATTCAAATGGGAATGAAAAATTCGTTTGCGAAAAATCAGTACTAGTTGTTGGGAAGCATTAAGAAATAGGAAAACTTTGGGAAATGCAAGATGTTTTTGTACTACTCGAAATTGTCAGGGAAGTTGGGATAAAATTGAAATACGTGGATATATTGGAAGCTTCGGTGAAGGGCAAATCAGCAATTTTGGTGAACTCAAAATCGAATGCTATACAAAACATGGTACATGTACATGGTACACACATAATTCCATTTTCAATAAAATATTTTTACAAGACTCTCGGTACTCTAATTGGAATATCAGTCGCATAACCCCCTTCTAAGACAGAAAAATTCTATGGAGCTTGAGAGAGCAGCCCCACACAGCGATATTATACGAGTTGTAACAGTAAATAAGGGCAAAATGAACATTTAAGAGCTGTTCTCTTGAATACAAATCTTAATTGTCTGAAAACATAGAACCTCGAATTAACTTTTTTCTTTACTTCAGCTGTACTTGACTCCCATGCCACGTTGCTATCTATACACTTATCAAAAAAGTCGACTTGTCTTTGGATTCTTAATCAGAATGGAATAATAAAAAGAAAAGATCCATAAAATTATTGCTTTGACAATCACCATTCTCAAACAGCTACTGTTTCCTTTGATAGTATTCCTACTCATAGTTGCTGATAACTCTTCCAAGAATATACAATATTTCAGATCAATTTCGTTCCGTGGAACGGAAGAGAATCGCATTCCCCTAGAGGGAAAACTGTATTCCAGATATTTTCCGATCGCGGGCTTTCCAAATACATCGAGACCCGCTTCTCCGAATAAAACTCAATTTCGGTTCAACCTACCATTCTCCCCATAAATCACCCGGAATGTATCCGAATGCAAATGGCCGAAGAACTGACCCGCTATGATTCCGGCATACTTGCGCACAATTTCCAGATATTTCTTATTATGGTGATCCAGGTAGGCGATGTGGGACGGCGTGGTGGCGGCCCTTTGTCGCTCGTTAGACCCCGGAGGCATGTGGCCGACAAGATACACCTGGAATTAATATCACACGGTTAGAATTTAGGAGGAAATTCTGAATGAGTAATAGACTATTTCAAGCTGTTTATTCAATTGTTACCATAATGTAATGTCTTTTTCTGAAATTATATACTGGAAACCTAGATATCTAATTAGGTGTATCTCTTGAAGTTTCTGAAGCTATTGAATAGTTCAGAACATATGGAAGATACACTGTGAAACTACCTAAACTCTGTCCATGCAACAAACAAAGCAACCCAAACAACGATAGATGCCTGATCAAAGCATGATTATCACAGTAAGCCTCCTTACGCTGGCGAATCAGATTCAACTGCAATCGGCTGACGAAATTCGTTGTTATAGTGTCGCAGTGATCAGTTATGTTCCAACGCCTGTGGTGTGTACATATAAGGTATTTTTGAAATTGAAATTTTTAAAATATCAGGTGCTGATACGGCTGATGAAACTGCTAATTTGTGTTCCTAACCTCCACCTAACCAAAACAACTGCACCTCGATATTAATGAAAAAATGTAATTATGAACATTCACAAGAATCTAATTGAAGTAAAATCTTTATTGTCCGTTGATGAGATCGTTAGGAAAGTAGGAAAGAATGCTGGAGTGTTTCCTCCAAGTGTCTGTGGAGTTATAAAAGAATATAAACATATGCATTATTTTTTGGCTCCAAAGTACATCTTTTTTTTTAACGAAATGCCAACAATAGATCCAGTTCTAAAAGTTGTGAACGATGATCCTGATCTACCAAATTTCAAAAGGTCGACATTCCATAAATTATTAAAAAAACTAGGAGAAATGGTGTTGCTCGAGAAACCAGAAATAGTATTATGGAGATGACAATATTCAATGAAAATAACAGCCTACAGAAAATAGAATAGACGAATCTATTACTTGGATTGAACGTGGGTAAACACAGGCCGCATTAAGTCCAAAATTTGGGTTGATAAATCCTTCAAGACAAGCCGTTTCAGACGGCCTCTCAAACCGCGTATGTTTGTGAACAACATAATTTGTTATTGTTATGTGATATTATTCGTATGGGAAGAAACGCTTCTTCTGTTCCAACTAAAACAAAATGAATCCTTTTTCAGGAAAAGGAAAAAGGTTGATAGTATTTCACATAGGAAGCGAAACCGGTTTTGTCTCCGACTCCTTATGGGTCTTCAAGTCAAAGAAAATGAAAGACTATCATGAGGAAATGTGGCATATCTTTTGGGATTTAGTTCAGGAACATATTTCCGAAACTAAAGAAGAATTGTGTGATTGTTTCAGATAATGCTCGGAACCATTCCAGAAAAGCTGAAAAAATCCTACTACAGCCACAAATAAAGCTGTAATTCAAGACAGGATGCGTTAGAAATGTATACCATTCGAGAATAACATGATAGAAGCTGAACTTTTGAGGATAGTGAATGAACATAAAACCGAATATAATAAATACATTGTTGACGAAATTGCTACCAGCACAATAGAATAGTATTATATCTTCTCCTTCACCACTGCTCATCTCAATAGAGCTTATTTGAGTGTACACAAAAAACTTTGTGCCCACATAAAATACTACTTTTGAATTTTGTGATCTTATATTTTCAGTGAAGCTATTTCATCTATTACCGTTGAGAACTGAAATAAAAGTGAAGGGTGTGTGAAAGATAAAGTAGAAATGAAAATGTTGAGATCAGACCATCTGATGGATAATTTGGTAGACAGAATTCAGTTCATAATCAATCTTAATGATGATTATTTCAAGAGCAGTTCTTAAGGATCTAGGCAATCAGTCTGGAATGACGAAAGGTTTCATTAATTTATCATTATCTAGGGATTTATACTCCAAAACGTTATTTTGAAATCAAAAACTGTTTACCCGTTTGTCCTGCTGAAATAAAATGACCCAATTTGTTTGTTGTTCACTCAATTTTAAAAACACAAAATTGTTTTTATTTTCTTCATTAGTTGAACTTTAAATAATTTTCCTACACCCAATCGCATAATAATATTAGATCATAGGAGAACCAAATGAGATATATTCACAGGTTTTCTGGGGGCTATGATATCTAGGGCATTTTCTTTTCGTTATATTCAGAAAAAACGAGGTTCGCCGGAAATCAATTATTAACTACGGATAAAGTTTCGTCACAGTTTTTCGTAATACAACTTTCTTGGGTATTGGAAATTATAAATGAGGTGACATCTAAGACAACTATCACACAGTTCCTACAATGTGAATTTTTTTTCACCTAAATATTATATATTTCAATTTTGTGGAATGTTTTGAATTAAATAATCCATAAATTCATTTATTTCTACATCATTCTCTAGGAGATAGCACTGTTTGCCTAGCAATTCAAATATGTATTATTTTGGAGAGAATTACAAGTTACTAATTTTTTCCAACTGGAAATATCAGTAACCATCAACATTCCATTTGTACATTTCATTTGTTTGAAATGGCTCTTTGGCCTGACTGCTGGAATGCCCGCTCGCAAAAACTTGCAACGTACACAATTCCCTATTAATTATTAAAAATGGCAGTTGAATGGCTGCTTTGTGAGCGGAGCGTCAGAATATTAATATGACTCATGAATAGCACTTTGCAGTGTAAGCTGCAAAATCCTCTTCCGTATTTATGTTGTTTTTTCTCTCATTACGTAACGAGTTCCCTCGCAGTTTGAAGAATGGAAACAGCTAACTATATTTGTAGACTGTTAGCATGGAATACTACCTAGTAGATGGATTGACTAGACATTTTCCTTCATGAAGTGACTGTGTGAAATGCAAGCCCCTTTAAAGCTGTCAATATTTTATTCGTTTTTATATCTGGGAAAAATCGAATATTTTCTGCAGTCTTGATCTATGTGTACCATCCACTACATTTAACTGATATTGACATAATGTTATATGTACCACCGGTAGACAGCTGTTTCAGCTTATTGGGCATCGTCAGTACCGGGCAGGCGGTCTTCGATTGAAAACAAAATCAGAAAAACCAAGAAAGTACTTGATANTAAACGCAAGCGAGACATAAATGAAACCACCTATAGGTAGTTGAGAAGTCTCCAAAATACTGGTGCAATTTTTAAGTACGATAGCGAGCTCTTCATCAGGCCTAGACGTCTTGTTGATATTGAGCGTCGTTTCCCTCATAATGCGTCAATAATTCACGATTCATCCCCACCAACTCTCAATTACTATTGACTAATTACTCCACAAAAAAACAAGAAAAATTAATGAATACAGTGAAAATTATTGATATAAGTTGAATAACATTATGCAGTGGAACTTAGCTTTTACATTATTCAGGAATGAAAGTGTTGCTTGTTGTTACTATTATTATTTTCGACAGAGTTGCACTGGTCGGGATGACTAAGAGGAAGCAAGTACTTCGAACAATTGAAAGTACATACTTGTGATACACTGTTTGGAACCTTTGGTGTAGTAATGAATATTACTGGTGTTTTTTCTCAACACCAAACCGTTATTTCAACACCTCGACACGTGTTTCGATCACCAAGTGATCATCTTTGAGAGGAAGAGAAACCTCTTCCTCTTGAAGATGATTTCTTGGTGATCGAAACACGTGGCGAGGTATTAAAATAACTATTTTATATTGAAAAAAAACTCCAACAAATTATACAAACACAAATGGTTCACTGTGTGAGTTTGCTTTGAATCCATGGATTTTTTCGATTCATTCATGGATATAAGTATTTTTTTTTTAGCAAAACAGGATTTGATTTGACAACCCAATATATCATTATTGATACTCGATATCTACGGTAGAAATTAAAATCAGATCAACAACAATAGCGTGTCACAAAGTGGTCATTCCTAATTAGGCTGTTCAGCCAAACAATAAACATTTCATTCGTGGTATTTACTGCTGTTATCGATATAACACTCCTTTGACCTAATTGTAGTTGCATGGTGGTGATAAGTTTCATTTGTTTGCCAACACGTCTAGTTTTCCTGGCACATATCAAGAGATATTCGTGACTCCGTGAAAAAATAAATTTCAGGAAATCAATAGAACATCGAGAAGTACAGCAGAATGACAAACCAAAATTCTGTAGCCACGTTCATAACGAATAAAATAATTTTTTGGTTCAACTAATTGATGATTAAATGATTCATCATTGAAAGACTTCGTGTTATAATTCATTCTTTCAAATACCTAATTCTCAAAGAAACAGACAAGCAATGACCATTGAGTAGTTCAAAACATATATGATATTGAAAAGAATGAAGACATACATCATGGGTGTGGATACTATCAATCGTCATATCAATAGTTTCTCAATGAATAAATGGAGTCACCTCGTTAAGTATTTGTGAAGCCAGAAACTTATTTTATAATTGGGAACTGTAACAGTTGGTCAATCCATACTGGATTCAATATTTTGAAAATTCTGATTGAACGTGAATTGCAAGTACTTGCCATGTTTCTGGTCTCTCCCTTGACATTTTATACACGCTAGTTCACAAAGACTGGGATATCAAGGAAACATAAAGACCCTACACAAAATCCACTCTTTCAATTATAATGTTATTGATTTTGCCATCCTATCAAATTGTTATATCGTTGTGGATCTGAAGAACAATCAATATGATCGAAAGTTCTGAAAATTATCAGTGAAATCAGACCCAATGTAACCCTGATGGAGTTACATTGGTTAGGGGTACGGGGTTATATTGGGTCAAATTTAATTTTGCTCCTAGAGAACGTGCCATTTGAAATTGAAGCTCAACAATATTTTCTGAAATTTTTCGAAATAATACAAACTTGAATGAAAAACAGAAGTCATAGTGTCATCTCATTTCTAATTTCTCGTCCACGTTACCTCGTATTCAAAAGTTGTTTTCAGTCGCAAATAGTATTTCTGAATATTAATATGTCATCTGATGGATGTAGATACTCATATAGTTCAGATAATAATAATAATAACGATGATAAGTATTTATTCACCATGAAAGCACAACCAAAACAGACAAAAAATAACAACTTCCGGTATAAACCTGCGAATTACAAGAGTCAAATAAAAATAGCAGAAAAAGTCTAGTTAACATCAGAAAATGATGCAACCGCTGTAGAAAAATTCCTTTTTGTATTAGAAAAGTCGGAGGCGGAAAAGAGAAGCGAAGGTCTAAGCATAGATCCTTGAGTCACTCCTTCCGATAATGGTAGAGCATCCGATTCAACATCATCCACATCAACTCTTTCAGTACAATTTTCCAGAAAGTTTCCAAAGAATCAAATTGCTTTCCAGAAAAACCAAAGTAGACAAGTTTGTCACACAATATCTCGTGATCAATATACCGATATCAATTTGACCGGTATAATAGTTCCAGTATATTAGTAGACTGGTCAAGGTTAGTTCTCCAATTCAAATACTCCCTGTTAGTATATAGTAGCATCCATCCTTCTTTCATGCAAACAAAATTTTTCCTATACATTTCTGGACAGTGTAGCAGAGTACTAACCCAAATTTTTATGTGGCATGTAACTGCTCCATATTTCTTTCTCCATAATCATCCCCTCTCTGTATGCCAGTTTCATTACGAAACGCGCCATCAACAATAAATTCACTTAATCCGAGTTATGTGACAACACCAAGCTAAGCCGGCCCACCATCAATGTCGTCATCAGCGAGGCTGAGCGGATCTTTGATATCAAGATTGGAAGAAATAAAGCCGTTCTCTCGGAGAGAACATTATAGCAGTCTCTTGCCGTCAACTAAATCCCCCACTAAAAATGGGTAAAGCGTAAGGACATACGAGGAGGAATCTTTATCTTTTATTGCTTGTTTGTGGTGGAACATATTCATGTAATTCAAAGAATATATCGTAGTGGATATAGCCGGTGGAGAAAATGTCTATTTCTGGTAGTGTTCAGAAGTGAGGTCATCCTATAAGATGGGTTCATTCTCACTGGGAACTAGAGAGCAGTTGATTTACTACCAGTGATACCGATGATAATGAAGGAGGCTGGGAATCAACATTTTCGGCTATTCGAAACAAACGAGTTATGATAATAATAATATTTATATTCCATTAGACACAGATAACATGTATTGGAATCGTCAAAGTACACATAAAACAATGTCACAAAATTCAAAGTATGAGCGACACCGTTGTTATCAAAACAACAACAACAAAATTAAAATAAAATACACCACAGATACACTTACATATTACGAATTGTAAAATTCTTGCAAATTATAAAAACAATTCTCAATCAAATAATTCTTCAACAAGTTACTAAATTTATTGAGGTTATATCTTTTAAATACCTAGGGAGTTTATTGAAAATAGTAAGACCTACCACTGATGGACAATTTAGCGTTGCTTCATACTGACGAAACGGTAAATGGAGTTCACTTTTTTGTCTAGTGTACACATATAAGTGTACTTCCGTTTGTAGAAAATCTATTATTCTTGAAATAATATCGTACCTAGCACAGATCCTTGTGGTATACCCATCGTGACGTCCAAGTGCTCAGAATCAGAGGTAGTAATGGTAGACTCACTATGATATTTCAAGCAAACAAACTGCTGTTTCAGTTCAGTTGCTATCACCAATACGCAGATGATATCTAGATGTATATTTCTTTTCGGAAAAAGATCTTCTTTCATCAAACTTTCACCTGGATTCAGATGATACTCAGATTCATATTTCATTTTTTGAAAAAGATCTCTTTTTATCAAACACACAATTGAATTCAGATATCGAATCCATCGTTACTGTATCTTCCAAAGTCTGTCTCTCCTTCTGAATCCATCACGATGTTGTTTGGTAAAAATAAAGCACGCAATCAATGATACATCTCCTTGGACGTCCTCATTGAAGTAAATACCCTTAGCATTTCCAACAACTCGAAAACGTTTGGTTTCGTATTAGACTCTCCTCCCAATTTCAATAGCTACATCTGTCTCAACATACGACGTGCCTTCGCCAGCTTTAAAAAACCAAGAATCCGATACATTGCTTTTCTGACGACAGTACACCTGTCTATCTAGAGGTGATTTAGAATTGGGATGACAGTAACCAGATTCAATTCAATGCCATGAAAACACAAGCATCGGATTTCTCCAAAAAGATTAATGTCTCCGAACGGGATATAATGATGTCAAAACAGAAAATGGAGCTTTCTGCTTCGATAAGTTTGTTGGGGGTTGAAATGGACACCAATATGGCTTGGTACAATCATGTCGCTAGAATTGCAAAATCTGCTTCTCTGAAGCTTGAAACACTGTTCCAAATCAGAAAACTGTAGATACCTCAGCAAATTTGATGCCTTATGAAGCTTAGAAGAGACCTTCTTTGGAGTATCGTTCTCATGTACAGAGCTTTGCCCCTGAGCATTTCCTGAAGGTGCTGAACACTTCCCGTGAAAGTATCTATAGAAGAGAGAGAAATCTCCAAGCTTTCTTTGATGTTCCAGACTATCAAGGTTGCAAGTGATGTTCCTGTCTTCAATCAGAGAAATGGCTCTTTTCTTGATAGAATCCAGCAACTTCAGGGTATGCTTAGGGGCGTAGCTCCATACATATTCTAGGTAAACAGAAAATAAGAACCGTCGTCGTTTCCAGTTCTTACAGAAGTTACTTTAAATTACAGCTCTCAAGCACGCTGCCGTTTAAAGAATGTCCTTCGAAACTTAGTGATCTGTTGAAAATTGATGGAAAAAAAAAATACTCAACAGGAAGTTTTCAAAACTATCAGATATCTGCTGAAAGGAATGGAATTTTTCAATATCATTGAACCCAGAATTTATAATTCTACGGACTATACACTTGAATTTCTGCGAAATTTCTACTTCTGCAAGTAAGTATGAGTGATTGAAAAACACATTCATAGATGCCCCATCATCTTGGAGACTATGTTAGAGTTTGATAGGCTTGAGCAGATTCAAGAAAGTTCCGAAATAACTGTTATTCGACAATAACGATGAGATTGAAACCTTTGGTGTGAAAGTTGAATAACTTTTTTCGAGATCAATTGCCATAACACCAAACTGATATTTTTGCACTCGACGCGCGTTTCGCCAACAAAGTTAGCATCCTCAGGAGAAGGAAATTGATCAACAGTTTGGTGTTAGGGCAATTGATCTCGAAAAAAATGTTATTCGACACTTGACAATCGGTGGCTCAAAATGTTCGGCCGTATGAATTTTTTTTCGAATCGTGATTATAGTTGTGTAAAGGAGAAGGAATGAAAGGAAATATCATGGAACCGTCGAAATTACAGGTTGGGTTCAACACTGCCAACAAGAGTTGAAATTATCCATAAAAAATATTTCATTTCCATCTACATTTCCCCTACCAAAATACACAGACCTCATGCGACGACTCTTTACACTTCCATTTGAATTTTGAGCACGCTTCGTGGATTGACAAAAATTTAAAACGACAATATTTCGTTCATCTTATCTCCCCTCTTCTGAAGCTCGAGTATAAAATTCCACCCTTAAGTATACCACCATAAAAATGGAAAAAGCGTCAGCTGAAATTGGAGGAAGTAATTATTCTTGACAGAGATAAAAGTTTTCGAAGTCAAAATAAATAAGACGACACTCAAAGAGCCATTTCACTGCATAACTACTCCATTTACATAATCATTTAAAAGATTTGTAGGATGGAAGCATTCCACATTATAATGTTGAAGGAAGGAAACAATAATTAAATTGAGGTGCATTTGGAAGTGAAATGTTGAATAATGAAATAATATGGTTCCTGTGAATATTTGGGATGAAGTCTATTTGATCAGCTGAAACAGTTTTTTGGATTCAACCGAGCTGTCAAAAATGTTAATATTGTTTGTCACGAATTTTCTACAAACTCATATTATCTTTTGGAATCTCTGATTGATCATCAACCAAGTGCAAACCCTGCAGTCGAAGAAAAAAGCAAACTTGTAATTAAATTCAAAATTCGAAGTGTAATATGACCTAAGTTGAAAGTTTTGATAATGATCCCTCAAACTTATGAAGCTCTACGTTGTAAGTAATGAGAATGGATGGGTTTCATAATTAATAATTACTGGTGAAACCTCCAGATGAATGTACGAGCGATTTATCTAGAGATATACAAGTGAAATGATCTTAAAAAAAATACTGAAGGCTTTGGTGTCAATTCAGAAAATTGAAATCAGAAAAATATTCGGGAGGTGTCCCAAACACTTCTTTGGTACCGGAACAGAATCTGTCTTTCGACTTGCGTTTCGTAAACATATCCTGATGATATTCACTGAATTCCACGCGACTTGTGCTGTATATAAAAACAATTTATATCGTTTAATGCCCAATATTGAACCATTTTCTCTACTTACTGTTTCTCCGTTTCGTTGAAATTTGCTCAGGACTTTATCAAGCCAAAGCCACTGTTTCATTGCATCGTCGTCTTTTTCACCCCGTTTCATCAAATTTGTATTCAGAACGACGATTTGGAGCTTCAGTTGCTTTCTTTCTATAATATAGTAGCCACCTGAAACAAATTTAGTAATTACATTCTAGTTTATATTGAATAAATATAATTTTATAAACTGTCAAATGAAGGTTTTACTATAAATGTATATTTTCATGAATCATAGCTTAATTTTTGAGCTTGGATGGATTTCATTATCAGAAAATGCCATCTCGTAATGATGAAGTAGAAGAAGGGACAATAATTAATTATTCTGGATATAGAATTCCTTGTTCAACTATTGAAAAGAATAAAAATATTATTTTTTTCAGTGCACTGCATTTATAATGAAAACAAAAAAGTTTTTTTAAAAAAAATAGAACACTTCAAGCGACTGGCGCTTGAAATCTTTATTTTTGTTAATCACTCAAGGCATATAGTCACCAAACTTTTCGAACAACAGAAGTAAAAATACTGGAACATTGTATACATTTTCCTGAAATCCATAAACCAATACTAAGTTCAATCTGCTTTCACTCATTGTCAGCAAATTATGTACTCAATTCTACTTCATGATACTAGTATTCAAGACAATCCGATTTCTTGACGACTACCATCAATCATCAAGAATACTTATTCATGAAAAATAATTCTGATGAAGCACTGCGGAGGTTAAGAATGAAGCAATTAAAGTTCGATCGTGTTTGTGAATCACGTAATAAATGACTTTCCTAATTGGTTTCCTCACCTCGGCAAGTTTTTGATTATACCAAAATGATATGTATTCAATCCACCGAGAGAACTTTTGTTGTAAAAGTCTTGAAGATCTGATCTTTGTTAGAATTCATCGATTGATAATAATTTACTTTGTTCTTTCCTATTTGAAATAGAATTAGGAAAATATTATAATGGGCTATTCAAATATGAGTGTAGTAGAGTAGAATACAGTAATGTTTTATTCAACCATGTTACGTATGAATACATTTATGACAGACCACAGTACATAATAATACATAATCACTCCTAAAAATATAACCCCTTCAATTATAATAAATATAATTTAAAAAAACTAAAAAACACGCTTTTGAAGAACATCGAACTAAAAAGTTAAAAATATTTTTTTTAAATAGGCTTAAAACTTTAACGAACGAAAAATACTAGTATTTTTGTGAAAAAAGCG